CGCGCCTCGATAGGGCGGGGGGGGGGGGGGGGGGGGGGGGGGGGGGGGGGGGGGGGGGGGGGGGTGGGGGTGGGGGGGAGGGGGGGTGGGGAGGGGGGGGGGGGGGGAGGGGGGGGGGGGGGGGGGGGGGGGGGGTGGGGGGGGGTAGGGGGGGGGGGGTGGGGGGGGTGGGGGGGGGGGGGGGGGGGGGGGGGGGGGGGGGGGGGGGGGGGGGTAGGTGGGGGGGGGGTGGTGGGGGGGGGGGGGGAGGGGGGGGGGGGGGGGGGGGGGGGGCATAACATTTCTCTTCATGCCGATGCACCCTTTTTATTTGGATCTAAATTATATGGCTTTCTTTTAATACGCTGACACTTTTCTCGTCCTAATGGTCTCCTTTCTTTGGACTACTTGTCCATTATAATCAGGTTTTAACGGACTCAACTGCCTGTTTACATCACTCTAAAGCTAACTGCCGTTTCGTTCAGCCAATTTCTTCCTATATCGCTTCTTTTATGATGACACTCATTACTTTATACTTAGCTATATTTGGCGGCCTAGCTTCAGCTTGCTGACATACCCGGTTTTGCCTGAGCACTATTCACCCTTCTTTTTATTAACAAGGATGAATCGTCACCTAAAGAAGGCAGACGGCTTTTCCACTTCTCCTCAATAGAATCGGTTTTACCGACCCTTTCTTTCTTTCTTGTGCTTTCTGTTGCTTTCCTCCTTCATTCGACGCTAACTTAAATGCGTCTGTCCTCTCTGACTTCTTACATTCCTAACAATTTAAGGCTGTGGCTCGTTCTGAGTGATATTCTTTCCCATAATCTGCACACCACGTCCTTTTTTCTCTGCTTCCAACCGATTGCGCAAGTGCGCATTAAGACCCCTCGAAAGCTCTTTTCTTCATCTTCATTCCTGTGTTGGAACAATCTTTCATTCTCTACTGATCCGTGTTCTGCTTGCTCTCGTGGTATTTCTCCACTAATGATACCCATGTATATGCGATAGTTAAATAACGGTTACATTTATAGGGGTACAATAGTTCAGTCCTCGCCGAAATTGCTTGACCGCAATCCAGACGCATCCCTTTCTTGTCTTTGTGGCTGTCTCTGTTCGTTTCCTTCTTTTCCGAGTTGATCACAGGTACGACGACAAGCACACAAGAAATTGTCTATCGTTGCGACCACAAAACAAGCCACACAGTTTCTTTATCTCGACATGAGCGGAAGGTTATCAACCCTTTTACAACTTACTAACAGGTCAAATCATTCACAAATCCAGAACAAATGGTCATCATGAGCTCTTTAATCCGCATTGACCGCGCAATTGGCCGTGGTCTTCTATAATTCTAAGCAATTTTACTACATACCCCGTGGGATCTGCGATTCTTTCTTCGGAACCGTATTCTATCCTTCAATAAAATTCAACCTACTTCAGTGTATATCCCTCGGAGACTTTTATGCGGTTCTGCAGAGGATAAACACATAATATTAAAAATGAATGGGTAGTTCCTGAACTACCAATCGGACAGCACAGGACTCAGGAACTCAATTGGCACCCGGCTATCGCATCAGCTGGCATAAAAACTGGACGCAACCTGACTGCGAATAAAAGAGCAACCAAACGTTCCACCAGAAACAGCCAGTTACAACTTGCCATTCATCGGATTGGCGGTAGTGTTTCAGGACGTGGTGGCTTTCCACCTGGTAAGTGTTCTCCCCAGAAAAAGCCACAAATGTCCGTTTAACAACAATGCAATTTGGCGTAGGTGACTCGCCACAGAATAAATTCACAGCCCATATCTTCACACTGGCAAATCAACCAATGTCACCATTCTAGATGGATATGTTACACTGGAACTTCTACTCCTGCACAGACTGTAGTCTTTTGGCTTTCTACGATATCACAGTTGATCTTTGCGTTACTTGTGCACGAACTCACTGTATTTTCAAATCTCTCTTGAGCGTACTCTGCAGCTATTTTCTAATAGTTTATTCAGGGTTCTCGTTCTATTATTAGCCGAGGTCCTGGTTTCCCGACAGCCAAATTATTATTCCGCATTTTTACCATTGTACGAGTCCAATCATGGACATATGAACAATCTTCTACGGTCACTGTTACATTTGTCATAAAATGTCTGTACAGTTGTACATATCTGTTCATGCCTCCATGGACGTGCCTCGCATAGTCTAGAATGAATATTTATTCATTTATTTTTATGTAACGGGGTATGTGGAACCGTATTCCCCCTATTCTTGACACTTGATAATCAACTTGGTCTGCAGGGTTGAGAAGCATGGAGTGGCGCAATCCTAGATCAGCAGTCATAGCATTCTATTTGCTAGTGTTGCCGTTTATTGTTAAGGAAGCAGCAGTACAGAAAATGTGTGGGTCATGACATTAGATTTTTGAGCGGAGAAGGTCATTTGCCAGTGTTCGCACTACATTTCAAGTGCTTTAGGCTCCTCACAGATACTATTAATTGCGGATAATTCATTAACATGGGGAAAGGCATGGACAACTTTTAAGACGTCAGCGAAGATAAAGGAGAGACCATGTTGTAAACTCCTGCGGAAGTCATTGATATAAATCGATAAACATTTTATTTTCGACTGTGAGGCAAGCCCATTAATGCATGAAGCCGGGGACATTAAAATCACCCCATAAACAGGCAGCTCATGCCTTGCGCTTATTTCTCATTGAGTGCAAAATGTAGAAACCAAGCGTTAATGAGGTTTTGTAGACTAATCCGACCGTCAGAGACTGGAAGCCATAGTGAATTCGACACTGGCGTACTCCTGATGCATCATCGTTGTCACAGTCTGTTTTACGGACGTAGCCGTTAAGGTAGGTTTTGGAATAGTGGGTTACTGCACATCCACGCCTTCGACTGGCGGGACCAGGTCGAAAGGGTTGTGGCTCTGGATTTTGGGTCTCTGTGTCCGACACCGTTGATGACAGACAAATGACGGTAGACGCCAGCAGATCCCTTCGCTGCCCTGAAATAAGGAGTTGAGCCTCGTAAAGCGTGTTTCTGAGGCTGCGCTCGATTGAAAGTATCAAACCTAGTCCAGAATTTGTGCTCAGGGTTCAAGAAGAAAAGAAGCTAACTCCATCAAGCCCTCGATGTTTTCTACACCGTAGAAATCCAACTTAGAATAGAACACTTAGTAACTTTTGGTGTTGCTGCACATATTTTTTCGCCAATATTAGTCCCTTTTGGAGCTGGCTCTAAAACCTTTCTCGCTGCAGCCGTAATACATTGTCCCTTTATTTCTCGCTTCCGCTTTTTAACTTTAAAGCCTAATATTTCGTTCCTCTTCCTAAGATAGCAAGCGATTCCTTCTTCACTATTAATCTAATCCCCAGTAGCGCTCTTTCCTTCCGTCTCTTTGATTTGTATGCTTTAATGTAGAAGTGCACCTAAGTGTGAAATACTTAGTTTCTTTTAGCACCGCTTCCTATTTTTACCCGCCATCCCGGGTCCCTTTCATTGGGAACTTTTCAGCTTTATTCTAGTTACAGCTTTAGTATGAAGTCCTTAGTATTCTCGTCGGAAAAATCCCACGCTCCGTGGTACACAAACACCAAGCTATTCCTCGCATCCAATTACTGAAATTGGTACGTTTTCTGTCCACGGGTCTCTAGCACAGCTTAGTAACTCCACCGGCCTTCATACATGTGAGGCCGATAACCTAAACCACTAGCGACTGAGCGTACAAGCGACATCATAGTCACACATTTCACTTCCTACTATGCACTTCTGATTCCCCCAACTCATGCACTTGTTGCCAAAGGTTGATACTTCCGTTTTCCCCAAAGGGTGACTTTTGCCTATGCTCGACAAATTCGGACAGCATTTGTCTCTCGCATTCAACAAATACCTGGCCTAGTACTTGCATGCAAAAAGCAGGTAGGCTGTATAACCTCGGTTATTTAATTTCGATTAAACAAAAAGAAATACATAAAACTTTTATTCACGACAAGCGAAGCAAGCCTGCACAGGCAGGATCATGTAAGGCTGGCTTGTCAAACCACCTCGCGGTGGTGCCATCTGGGTGCCACAGGTTTACTCCGTTCTAGCAAAAAAATTCGGCGTTATTGTTCCAGGAAGTGGTGGATTTCCGCTTGGCAAGCGTTTTCTCCATAAAAAGCCACAAAAGTCCTCTTGACAACACTGTGACGTGGGGGTTGTGACTCGCCACTTAATAAAGGCACTGCCCCTTGCTCAACAATGGTCATGCATTGTATACCAGGAACTTATTGCTCATCCCTAAAATCATTGCTAATTCACGGACGCCAAGCATCCCTTTAGCATTGCTGCTACCTTCAAACACCAGCCAAAGAAGCAAAACCTTTACAAGGCCAAGAAATGCAGAACATGCCCGTACGCGCGCACACAAACACATTAATTTATCTACGTATATGACATTCCTATGATAAACCTTGACTACCACCCTTGATCACGCAAAAGCTGGTGTGCTAGCTTATCCGAAACTAAATGTTTATTTATTTAGTTATTTAGCTAGTTATCTACAAAAGGTGATCATTTAACGTACAATGGAAAAAAGAAGTTATCCCATTCTTTGATATATGAAAGTATGTAAGGGTGCATGTGTGCGTGGTTGCTGTGTTTATGTGTTTGTAATTGTTTTCTACCCTTTGACCGTGCTTAGACTGGTGCTCAGGGTTAAATGGGTACTGCACACCTGCGGACTTGAAGCATTTGTCCGGATACGCACTGGGTGTTTTTGGTTGTTAACGTGTCACCACCGCCACGTGACGGTGTTGTTAAACGGACATCGTTAGCATTTTATAGGGAGCACGCTTTCTGGTCAAAACCACCAGGTCCTGGAACTCTGCTACCTAACTATTGACTAGAAGGAGGTCAAATAAACTCCTCAGCTGGCACCACGAGTTGTTTGGCTAGCCAGCCACAACGTTACCAAAACACTTTATTCATATATTAACATCGTCCTGTTCAACTTGCTCGGCAGTTTGCTCGGTCCATTTTTCTTTTTTCTTTTTCTAAAGGATATAAGTATCTGCACGATACACCCCAAGAACATGTCTGCGGCGCCCAGCTGGCCAAGGAAACAGCGCAGATCAGTTAAAGCTTCTGTACTTCGCAAGCCAGATACAAAATAGGAATCCGGAAACCTAATTGAAGGAATACAAGTCACTTGACAAGTCCGACTTCAGCAGCTCCAACTACTCGCGGCTGTCTCCGATACCAAACACACAGCCATGGCAAGATATTTGGAGGAACTTGACGGCGAATGCCCGCCAGGGCCAT